GAGCTCAAAGGCTTAAAACAATTGTGCTGCGCCGTGCCTGACACGTGTAGCGTGTCCGCTGACAACCCCAACAAGCCAAGCTTCAACGGAATTAGAACGTGTGCTGCCAGAGTGCACAAGTGACCGCTCTGACGGCTCTGCAGTGTCGGGCAGGGGTATCTCTATTGTGGAAAATTGTTTACCGGACAAAGCCAGAACAAACCTTTAAGGCTCATGCTTTGGGCGGGAAGAATTCGCCAACTCTGACTTTCGTTTGTTGCCCCCCGTTGGAAGGGGAGAGAGAGAGAAAGAGAGATAGAGAGACAGGGAAAAAAATCAAGGCTGCTTTTTCGCTGAAAGGAAAACTCTACCACTCCTCTGGAAGCAACACTTTGACTTCGACCTTCTGTAAAGAACTTCGAAAGGGAAGTCTTCAGGCCAGACATGGCAGCAAAAGCTTTGAACTTAAAGTCGTTGGAGCCTTACCAGCCCAGACCAGGAAGAACCTGTCCAAATCTGGAAGCAAAAGCCGCAGAAAGCACCTCAGAAAGAAAAAGGGCCTCAAAGGCGGATCTTGGGGGTAGGGGGGCGAGCGTATGTATATTCTACACGTAATATGTATAGGTGCATCACTATACCATGTTAGATGCCAGAAAGTATCTGCAACTATCAAACGTCATTTGGTATGGGTAAAGGCAAGAAACACACTTCGTCACGTTTTTGCCACAAAGGCTCTCACCCTTCGCACCCCGTTCGAAGGTTTATTTGGATCCTGTGCTTTCCGCGGTTCCTCCCTTTGTGCGCATGTGTGTGTGTGTGCGCGTGTGCGCATATATATATATATATATGTATTTGCATGGGTGTGCAAAATCAACCAACAAGTGCGTGGCAGTTGTTTTTGTCCGCTGGTTCCTTTTAACACCCCAAAAGAGCACCGTGAAAACTAGGAACCTTGGTGTGTTTTCTTTAACACCCCCTTTAAAACCAAGCCAAAACAGTACACTCAAAAACACCACGCCGCAGAAGGGGGGAATCAAAACGCCGTGCCCACTCGCCCAGGACTAGCGTCCCTGCACTGGAGGAGGTGATCGAAGAGCTAGCGGCTGAAAAGCGCAAGGCGAAGAGAACTCGCGTGAACCGCGTTTGTGTTTTTGGATCCACAAAAATGGGTGGTGTGTCTCATGGTTTCCCTTCAGAATAGAAAACCTAAAAAGACCCCCAAATGGGTGGGTGTTTTCCAGGGTGCACTTTCGGTGTTGTTGAATGAAAGGCGCCAAAAGGGAAGCCGCACAGTTTTTGGCGAAGACAGCAGAATCATGCATGTAAGTTGTCCATCAATTCACATCACCTACCTGAGTTGGGTGGGTTCCGAAATCTGCTACACACACATTGTTTTTTGACGCAAGCGATCGGAACGTTTATTGGAGTGTTTTTCTCAGTTCCGCCCTGTTTTCTTGCCAATGTTTAACTCACTTTATTTATAAAGCATGGTTACCATTGGCTTGCTGATACTGAGTAACATGGAGCCCAACCACCGTTGACGGAATATGTTTTCAGGAGACCCCGTTTTTGGGCAGCCATGCAATTTATAGGGTGTCAACTGAATACCTTTAGGCTATCGCCATTCCAGTGACAGCCTGAAAACTACCCTCTACACCGTGGCAGAAAGGCACACCCAAGAATGTTCACATCCCGGGGGCCAACTTTCACTCCCCCAGTTTCTGGACACATTATGTTGGGAAGAGTCTTCTGGGTGGGCCAAAAGTCTGCATAGTTATTGTGCAGCCCACTCAGGGCGTGGTTCTCTTTTGCCCGGGCACGGTTCCCTTTCTGAAAGGGAAGCTTTTGGTGGCTTTAGACATCACCTGGTAAAAACGCCCCCTGTCCGGAGGGTGATATAATTGCCACCTTGAAGGCCACAGCTTGGTTTGGAATGGAAGCTGTTGGAGAGTTCCCTCCACCAAACCTCATTTTTCCGCTCCGAGCATGATGATCGAATAAAAATGAGGAATGTATGGTTTGGTTTCCTTTGCTTCTCTTTACTAGAGCCAAATGTCGACATCTTCTCCTGGAACCAGATACGGATGTCTTGAGGCGCATGATTGTTCCAGCCCATGCGGCGAGTCCTGGCAAGGCTCTGACACCTTCTTTCGGCCACGGATTTTTTTTGCCTGTGGAGTCGAGGAGGCTAATATGACTGTGTCTCAACATGGCAAACCCCCTTTTGGTTGGTATTCAAAGCAAACCAATAGGAAACTCGTGAATTTGCAGGGACCACAAGAGAGCAGGCAGGTTTGCTCTCCCTGAGGTGGAGGCTGAGTACAGCTCCTTGGCAGTGGGTGTGGGTGCTCCTCCTTTTATTTGCGCAGTTTGGTTCTGCTCGAACAGACTGTGCAAGTCTTCTGCCTGAATGAACAAGTGCCCATATGCTGCAAGCAGACCCCCTGCCTGAACTGTTCCAGGTGCAAGAACAGGTCAAACAAGACTGGTACAAAGTCTAGCCAGCCGATTGACAGTTGCG